AAATGTTGTTGCCAAACATAATGAATCAATATTAAATGGTGTACCAAGACCACTAACTAAACTATCAGTTGGTTGACGGATTAATGTAACAGCTGTTGAAAATACACATTCATTATTCATTCGTTTCGTACGTGTTGAATTTAAATAATTATTATTATGACCATTGATTATATTTGATGATGAATTAGTTAAAGGATTTAATGGTGAATTTTTTATTGCATTATCATTATTAATATTATTTGTTTGACGAATTGGTTGTTCATCAAGACCAGCTGTACGATGATAACGACTTGCTTTATTTACAACATGAGGTTTTGTATGTGTACGAACATTAACAACACCTGTAATATAAAATAAAAACCTCAATTGGTTTTTCATGTAAATATAAAATTAAAGATATTTGTCTAAAATTATTCAAAGTAAAATTTCAAGTCGAAAAGTATCGTACAACTTTATGATCTGCTCCACTGGAATTTAATGGATTTTTACCTCCATATGGATTAATTGCAAACAGATGAGTTGTACCACGTTTTGTTGATACAGCAAGCCATCGACTGTCAGCGGTGAACGTCATATGAGAAACTAATAATATATACAGAAATAAATTATAAAATTTATCGATTATTATTAATATCAGAATTAAATTTTTTCGAATATCTCTAAAGAACAGACACACTGTCAATCACTTGCGAGTATCATTAGTCAATTTGTATTCGAAATATTCAATCAATTTTTCAACCCTGGCAGTGATTTGTGGCAGGAATATAACGTTGGGTGAGGAATTTACGAAAGGATAGACTACGTTAGAGCCTATCGGGTCCAAAATTTCTGGACCCGGTCAAACCATACTGGTATACTCTCAATGAAGCTTTGTAATTGGAATTCAATAGTCATCCAGTAGATACGAGATACTTTTTTCCAGATTTTTGTATTTGGTGACTAGCGCACCCTACATATTTCTTACTCAACTACAGCTCGTTGGTTCGGAACCAACCCGATGGGCTCTTGATTACGCTCTTATATAAAAAATGATTTATGTCAATACTAATAAATGGATATGATGATGCAGTAAAAACATAGGTTTGGAAAAAGAGAAGACTCAAAACACGCATCCACACTCGCATCTCGTCTTGCTTAGCACTACGAAATGTAGCAACTAATTAAAGAAATAAGGCTTTCTATAGGGGTCAATGCGGTCAATTTCGACTCGGTCTGAAATATCGATCTTCCTTTCATACCAACTCATGATTTGTTACGTACGTGCTAAAAATCGATAGACCACTAGTTATTTTCATTTTTGAGATATGCGAAATTTTATTGAATATTTCAATTTGAGTTTTATTATTCATCTTATGTATTTATAATTTACCTCTACAATCAGTATCACCACGAAATAAAGTATATAAGTGCTTAATATACGTTCTAGTACTGCGATAAGGTGATGGTTGAATTTCTAGTATATAAAAATAATGTCCACTAGTATCACATGTTACAAGTAAATGTCCACTAGGATTAAATTGTAAATGACTAACAGGTTCTGTATGAGCTTGAAAATGAGCTATGATCCAATTTTGTCTTTCATCATGAATAGACGACTGAAAAACAAAAAAAGTAATTAAATTATATATAACATTCTTCTTACACCAAATAATTTAATTGTATCAACAATAGTCACAATACCAGGTTGTGATTCATCTTTCGTTGATCCATGTCGATGTCGTGTTGAATTTGTATTACTATTAGTTATTGTTGTTGATGATGATGATAATGATAACTGTGTTTGATTTGATACTGTTTTATCATTTATATTTGTACTATTTAATTGTTGTGAACCAATATTTCCATAACCAAGAAAACTTTCACCAATTTTAACAACACTTTTTGATAATGATTTAGCTGCACTTAACATTGCACCTGTATATGATACATATTGTTCTGATATTGTACCATCAATTCCACCTAATGATTGATGAATTAAATTAAGACGATAATCAACAAATGCTAACCATCGTGTTGATAATGCATATGGTATTGATGAATAACAATTTGATATAAAAAATTTTTCATCAAATTTTATTAAATCATAACCAATAATATATGTATGTGTTGCACATATAAGTACAAATTTATTTGATTCAATCCATAATGGTTCACTTTGTGGACCACTACCAGGTAAATCAATAATTTTTAATGGTTTTTGATCATTTTTTAATGAACGTATTTGTATTGATGGTGGTCCTACGGATTTAGCAAATGCAAATAAAGGACGTTGAGAAAAATATGAATCATCAGGATATGTATTTGATATTAATAAACATGCAGAACTTAAATTATGTTCACGTATTGAAAATAATTCATTGGCTATTCCATTATTTTCAATTGCCCATAATGATAAACCACTTTTATATGCAATTAATAAAACAAGTGTATCAATACGTATTGATGAATGCCATTCATGTGCATTAGATAAAAAACGTATCCATTCTATTGTTTCAAATTGATCATTATTAGTCGAACGTGAAGATATTGAATAAGCCTAATGTAATAAAAAGTAAATGAATTTTTTTATTATTATTCGAAGATAGAAAAATTTACTTGAGGAACTTTTTCTACTACATCATGAAATAGATCAACAACTGATTCAAGAACACTTTTTTCACTAGAATGAAGAATATATTTAAATACAATTTTATTTGAATTATTTAACATACGTAACAGCTTCAGGACGAACTTTTCTTAATTCAATTGATGATACATAGGACATTCAGGCAGTTAATTTAAATGAAAAAAAATAAATATAAATTTCTAAAATATAATATAAATTAAAAAAAAATATATGTATGTATATATATCAGCATAACAAGTATCATGCGATGTTAAAAGACAAAAATAAAAAAATAAATCAAATCAGCTGACACTTTAACACATATAATGTGATGATGACTCATAGAATAAAAGATAAAAAATATCAACAAAGAACGTAAGGACAAAGATGACAAAAACAGAAAATCGATTCGCTAATTTTAGATATCTTCTATAGCTAATAACAATATCTGTCACATAGATGTCGATATAATTCAAGATCATTTTAAATCATCTTAATAACTATAGGATGTATACTCCAGAGGTCAAACCAGATAAGACGACCCCGAGTCGGGCACGCTTTTTCTCAAGGCAAGGTTAAGATAAATCATTGGTGGATTCAGCAGTATGATAATTCTGTGATCGTCGCCTCATTGCAAATAGAAGTAATAACGAAATCTTTTAGAGAGTTTCTCTAGAAAACGTTTGGAGAAACGCTATAGAACTTTTGAATGCTTTCAGAAAAAGATCTGTTTGTTTTTTCAATTAAATGTTGTGCGAAAAAATGAAAAGTTTTTATTTCTAAAACAGATTCTTTTTTTATTGCAAATTAGTTTCAATTTATATTATTATGATCACAAATAGATTTGTTTGAAAATATAGAATTTTGTAAAAAGTCAAATATCTTTTTTTTTCATCTTCAAGTAATATTTAAAAAATGCCAAAAACAAGACTTGATGATTTAGCTATTATATTTAATTATCGAGATATAGATACAACAGTTGATTCTATTATTGATCGATTTTCTAAATTTATTTATCGACTGTTTATTTATGAATTTCTAGATTTAATAAATGAATCAGATATGGAGAATATAAGCGCAGAAACACCTTACCTGATTTATTTTACAAAAAAAACATTCACACTCTCCCAGAAAGCATCGTTTAGAAGTCGCCATTCGCTCACTTAAATTCTGGATCTGTCACTGATGTAAATGGTTACAACAGATATCTTTATCCTACCAAGATTTATGTATGAATGTCAAAAAGTTCTTACTACTTGAAGACATGCTATCGTTTTGTCTACAACGAATGTTCGATAAGAAGTTTAATCTTTTCAATTAACTCTTGAGATATGAAATATACATCCGTGAATACCACACTACAAATGATGATAAACATTTTTGATTTCTGTATTGATATTTACAGACGATGATTTATTTGTATAGTACAACTGACAGTATGGATTACTAGTCTTATTTTCATATGTACACAGAGAACATGATCAAGATGACAAAGTATACAAAGACAAATGTTTACGTAAAGTTAAATATTTTCATTGATATCTTTGGCAAATAGGATTAGTTGTCTTTTGACTCTCGAAAGAACATATCGAACGTGAAGATTATATAGTGTCATACACAAAGTTAAAGATAAATGTACTACCTGTAGAATTATTATATATGATCCATTTAAATTAATCATCCAAGCAAGACGTCTGTACATGTGTGTTTGCTTGTACGTTTTTGTTGTCAAATTACAAGGTATAGTAGAAATATTGATAATTAGAAAGGTAACAAGTCAGTAACAAAGTAAATAGAATTATCTGTTAATAGATTAACTGTATAATTTCGACAATCGGAAAAGGCAATATCATTTGTGTACTAAATAGAAATTTATTGTACAAAAGAATCAAATAAAAATTAATTTAGTCGTAAAGTTTCTATTAAAGTATCGGTGTATTTAAAGCTATTTTGCATCAGAATAATTTATCGAAAGATTCAATTTTATTAATAATACTAAGATATTTAAAAACTATCCAGACGAAAATTCTCAATAGTCCAATATTTACATTTTATGAGACATTTTCGAATGCATCTTTGAAAAATTGCTTTATGAAGTATTCGAAAATTTTAACTAGTATTTGAATATTCAAACTAGATTTCAATAACTAAAGTATATTAAATCGTTGTTCTTCTAACAAGATGATAATTCCAAGGTTTGACATTTTACAATGACGAATTGATTAACTTCTTTATTTTTCTGAATTTCAGAATAGATATACCTGAGAAAAAAAAAAACTTCTAAAATCATTTCGTATCAACAATCTCTCGACTGATTTCCTCGAGACCAACGGAATGATGTCTTTTGTTTTACGCAAATATATGAACATATTTATTTAAAAATGACAATTTTATTTTAAATAGTCTCAACAGGTTTTTCCAGAGAGCCAAGTACTCGTTCGTATGAGTCGATTATATCATCTGGACCAGTAACAAAAATAAGTTTCGCATTAGGTGCATGCTCATGAACGAGATTAACAAGACGATTAAACCAATGAAGAGTTGTTACTTCTTTTGGAAATTTATCATCAAATCCATTAATACCACCACCTTGAAGAATATCGATATATATCATTTAAAAAAACTAGTGTCTACTTACCAATCGACACACCATCCCAATCATTTCTCTTGAGAAGTTCGATTAATTTATCGTCATTGGTTTTATCATTTTCAATGGCAATAACTTGAGCATTTTTATAACCCATTTCATGTAAATATTCTTCAGCTTTTTCTGTTAATTCATGTTCTCTTCTTAAAACAAGTATTTTCCATGAATGAGCTTTTGATCCAGTCATCTTTGTTAATTTATTATGCGAAAGTGCGTCGTATATATTGCTTGTTATTACTATAAGAATACAACGAATAGCTAAAAAACAAGTAATAGAATGCGCTGCAATTAAAAGAGAAAAACGTGAGAACGTAAAATATAAAAAAAAAAGAACAAGGTGAAGCGAGACGCATACACCATAAAGGGTCATTAAGTAAAACAACAAGAATTGATTGATTACTTGTGGTTAACTAAAGGACTAACGAACAATGAGATAAATAGTTTTTGACATATTGTAATTTTTTCAAATAAAACAATGTCATACGAATACTTCCTAACAGAGATAAAACCAGTGTCTGTTACCAGCTGATCTGATCCAGCCTACTCAGATGGGTACCAGTCATAAAAAATCCAGATTGGTTCTATCTCTGCTTCCTGATATTTCATTTTTGTTACCAGAAACTTTCATCTCATTAATATAAATAACTTATTTCTTTTTATTAATCATATGAAATATCTAAAATTCCTTCTGAATTTACTAATGATTATTATCAAAACTTTTAAAATCAATAGTTCGATTATTTTAGATTTCAAATAAATAAAAAACAGATTTCGAGTATCTGTAAAAACTGCGAACATCAAAAAAAAGTGTAAAATAAGATAGAGTTCGAAATGATTCTTATACAGACATCCATTCCAAGATAACCATGAGCTTCTGTCGATGTTCGTATCCATGAAAATGGATATATCCAAGTTAAAAAAAGAGCTCATCTCCAGATAGAATATTCGTTTCGAACTCTACCTTATTTTCTGCAGTTTTTACCAGCACCTACACATTTATTCGTTTTCTTGAAGAAATTCTTTGAATCTAATTTTTAGATTTATCTATTGAGATGAATTCTTACAAAAGAAAAAAAAGGAAATTATATTGAAATCATCTGAGATCTTACTTTATGATCTTTGAATGCCTATGCATATTTTTTGAATTTGAATCCATTTTCATTTTCGATTTACAAAAGGAGTAAGGAGTAGACATCTATCTTACTTACAATTGATTGATACAATTCGTCAATCAAATCTTTAGTATATAACAATTTATCTGAAGAAGAATTGAATATAAAGATGACGGGTACATTAGAAAATTTTCGTTCAATTTGCACAAAAATCATTTGTGTTGGACGTAATTATAGGTAGAAGGAATTTCTTATTTTTCTTTTTTTAAATTATTTTATTATTTTTAGTGAACATATAAATGAATTAGGCGATGTAAATATTTTATCTTCTTTTTTTTTTTTGAATAAAAGCAAATTTTATTCTTTAGGTTGCACCTACTACACCATTGATATTCATGAAACCACCAAGTGCTTTTGTTATTGAACCAAATGATATCAAAGTAGGAAGACAAAAAAAAAAAGTTTTGATTGTAAAATTTTAAAAAATTTTTATTTTAAATAAGATTCCTTCTGATTGGGATGAACTTCATCATGAAGTTGAACTAGGTGTTATTATTAATAAAAAATGTCAAAATGTTTCAAAAGAACAAGCTGAAGAAAATATTGGAGGTTATTGTTTAGCACTTGATATGACAGAAAGAAAAATTCAATATGATTTTATAAAACAAGGTTATCCATGGTTACTTTGTAAAGGTTTTGATACATCTTGTCCATGTGGTAATTTTATTGATAAAAATCAAATTAATCCATTATCATCATCAGTTAATCTTTGGCTTCGTGTTAATGGACAAATGAGACATGATGGTCATACACGTGATATGATCTTTGCAATACCAGATTTAATTGTTTATATTTCAAAATATATTACACTTGAACATGGAGATTTAATTTTAACTGGTACACCAGCTGGTGTTGGACCAGTAAAAAGAGGTGATCAAATAGAAGCTGGAATCAATGGAGAAAATAATTTCAAATATGCAATGAAATTTAATGTTTCATAGAATTTTAAGATTAAATTTTGTTTTTTTTTTGTCTTTTGATTTATTTTCTGTAATTTTTAGCACGATTTATAATTATAAAAAAAAAAAAAATTATTCGTTGATTAAGAAATAATTGTAATTTGATTTATAGATCATCAATTTAATAAATATGTCGGAATTTGCTAAAGAAAAACTGACAACTCTTATGCTTGAATATCCAAAACCATCTGGTATCATTTTGGGTTATGGTACAGCAGGTTTTCGAACTCGTGCTGATATACTTCCATGGATAATGATTCGAATTGGTCTTCTAGCATCTCTTCGATCTAAAGTAAAAAAAGGTTAATATAATATATTCAAATTAAGATTTTTGTTTTTTCAATTCGAATCATTATTTCTAGCTTGTATTGGTGCAATGATAACAGCATCACATAATCCGGAACATGATAATGGTGTTAAATTAATTGATCCATATGGTGAAATGTTGGATCAATCATGGGAAGTTTATGCAAATAATTTATCATCACTTGAGTATATTTGATTAGAATATAAATATAGAAATTTTTAATTTCACTATTAGTGATAATATTCATGTTTTATGGGATTATTTGGAAACATTAATGACTCAATTAAATGTACAATTAAATGATAAATCTACTGTTGCTATTGCGTATGATACACGGTATGTCAATGTGATATAAGACAAATCTTTTTTTTTTTAATCTATATAGACATTATCTAGACAAAGTAGTCCACTTTTATCAAATATTGTCAAAAATGCAGCTGAAATTTTAAATACAAATATAATGAATTTTGGTAAGAAAATTTTCATTAAAAAAAATCTCTTTTTTTTTTAAATTTTTTTGTTTACCATAGAATTAATGACTACACCACAACTTCATTATACTGTTCGATGTTATAATGATAATGAACTCTATGGAAGTTGCACTGAAGCTGGTTATTTTGATAAAATTTGTACAGCATTTAGAAAATTAATTGAAGCAAGAAGATATAATTTATGTGTTTTATTTTTATTATTGGCTTGGTTTTTTTTTCTGTAATAGATGACATCCGGTGCTAAGCCTGCTGAACAACTTGCTATTGATGCTGCTAATGGTATAGGTGCTCAAAAACTTGTTTATTTAAATCAAAGATTATCAGATTTACTTACAATTGAAATATTTAATGATGGTACCAAAGGTCATTTAAATGAAAAAGTAAATAAAAATTTGTGATATACTACTCATCCAGTAGAGTTAATATTGAGTTAAACATGGAAGTAGCTTATGCAGTTGCTAATTATAGTAGAAATATGGTTAAATTCGGGTGAAGTTATTTTATTGTGGAGATGTTTAGAATGGATAAAAAGAAAAAGACTCATTCGTCTCGAATGGCATAAAAATTGAATGTATTCTTAATTTAATTCTTTTTTAGAACTGTTCACAGTTATGTTATTATTTTATTTGCATAAAGCTGAAACCTTGCATACCGTGGGTTATTTTCGAATTTAAATTATGTTTTTCATTTTCTTTTTATCAATATGAAATCATTGGCTCTGATTTCGATTCGAAATCAACTCTTTCCTATTCTTAAGATCTTGTTTTATTGATAAAAATTTATTTAAAAACAACTGTGAAATGCTTTTTGACTGAATATTAGTTCTAATAAAGTTTTTAACATGAAGATCGTGATATGTCATAAGTTTATATCGACAATAAAATAATTCTAGAAAAACTATTTGTTATGTTATGCACTACGATTTGGTCATAAATGACCTGAGTTCTCATTAGAAATGCTACTTTTATATCTGTCACCAAGAGTTTTTTAAAAATCACTCTACAAATAGATTATACACGTAGTAGTGTACATATCAATTCTACTAATATAAGAATAATCAACCGATCTAAATAAACAATGGATGGACCGAAAGTTTTAAGACAAAATGTTCCTTCATTTTTCTACTGGTTTCGATGATCAGCAGATCCTATAAAATATTGGTTTAAAATCAAAATTTTGTGCTCTTTCCAAATTTAGTCTTGGAATTTTTATTAGACTTCTATTTTAAAAATTATGAGCGAATTCTTGAAAGATAGTTACAACTAACAAATCCATAGACAGAGAATGCGACCGTATTCCGTTTGAAATTGTTTCCATAATGTTTTTCAGCAACTTCGTATTTCTAACATAGAAATGCTGATTTTGTTAAGTTTCATTTTCTTTCGTTCGGCCATATCACGTTTTGAAAATTTTCTGGATCAATGTCTAGAGAGTAAATATTCGCTTTTGCATATATTTTAAAAGCGATTCCTTGCACAGTATGACTAGTGAGACCTTGCTCTACAAAGTCTGCTAAGAACCGAGGTTCTCAAAGAAATCTTTCAGAAATAACCGAATGCATTTTGTGAATTTGAAAATCAAAGAATCACGAAAATGTCACTGTGCCTCTTGTCAAAACTTTCATTGTTGATAGATGTCTTATCCTTTACGGTTTTTTTGCACTCTGAAACTTGTCCAAACTTTATTTTCAGGCCTTTCATAGATTTGCTCATAACTCCAAAACTACAAGCCTAATAAAAATATCGAATCTAGATTCAGAAACAGCACAAAACTTTGATTTAAAAAAAATATTTTATAGTTTCTACTGACCTGGTTAATCAATCGAAAAATGGAAGAACATTTTGTCGTAAAATCTTTGACTCATTTGTTAAAGGAACAAAAAAAAGTCATTTGCCAACGCATATATTTTAACTGAGAGATAATGATTTTTTTGAGTTTACAGATTATTTAAGACTCTACATAATGTTTGAAAAATGTAGCGATCCAGTACTTGATCATTCCAAATAGGTAGTTACTTTGAATGAGTTAAAAATGACTCAACAGGAGATAAAAGGTTAAAATAATAATAATAATAATAGTTCTTTTTTATTTTTATTGAATTTAGTGTGGTGCTGATTATGTTAAATTATATCAAAAAGCACCTGATGGTTTACCTTTAACAAATTATCCAAAATATTGTTCAATTGATGGTGATGCTGATCGTTTGATTTACTATTTTATTGATGAAAATCAACGTTTTCATATGCTTGATGGTGATCGTTTTTCAGTTTTATTTGCATCATTTATATCTAATAAATTAAAAGAAGCTAAATTAATGGATCAAGTTAAAATGGGCGTTATTCAAACAGCTTATGCAAATGGAAGTTCAACAAATTATATTGTTAATACAATGGTAGAATTGGTTTTTTTTTTGTTATTGAAAATAAGAACTAAATTGAAAAGTTTCATTTAGAATGTTCCTGTTGCATGTGTACCAACCGGTGTTAAACATTTACATCATAAAGCACTTGATTATGATATTGGAATTTATTTTGAAGCAAATGGACATGGAACAGTAGGTTGTTTTCGTTATAGATAGAATAATAATTAAGATTTATTTAGGTTTTATTTAGTGATAATTTAAAGAGTAAAGTAAAAGCAGCAATAGAAGATCAAAAGTAAATTAAATAATAATCTAATATGTTTTTTATGTATCTTTATTTTCTTTTGTTTATAGTCGAACAGATGAAGAACGTTTAGCTGCAAGTCAACTTCGTGTATTTATTGATATAATTAATGAAACAGTTGGTGATGCTCTAGCTGATTTATTAGCAACAGAAGCTATTCTTTGTTTAATGAATTTATCTATAGAAGGATGGTTACATTTATATAATGATTTACCACAACGACAATTAAAAGTAGCAATTAAAGATCGAACAATGATTCAAACAACAGATGCTGAACGACGTTGTATTGCTCCTGCTCATTTACAAGATTGTATTGATGAACTTGTGTCGAAATATTCATCAGGTCGTTCATTTGTTCGGTAAAAAACGAAAACAAAATAGTAATTTTTTTTGTTCTTATTAATTATTTTTTTTTAAGACCATCAGGTACGGAAGATATTGTACGTGTTTATGCTGAAGCAACTACACAAGTTGATGCAGATAAACTTGCTGATGATATACGAAAAATAGTTGAAGAACTAACAAAATGAATTTTTATTTATTGATTCCACTTAATATTTAGTTAAAAACTATTCTTAAGATAATTTTTCAGATGAAAATTTCTTTTCTATATTATTTAATATGCTTATTCAGTCCGTTTTTTTGGTATATTTGGGGAAAAAAAATATACAATGCTAATCGTTTAATTCATATAGTTATATTTTTCAAGAGTAATAGCATTTCATTTATATACAGTCTTGGAAGATTTCTTTTAATTACTATCGTCGGCTACTAATTCTTATGAATATTCGAGATGATTACAAGATAATGAAATACATACAATTCAAAAAAAAATAAAATTTAATTTGTAATTGTCGATCAAAAAATTTTTTATATTCGATGATTGTTATCACTTGTTATCAATCATTAACAATACTTTAACTAGACATAAATAGGTGTTTACAAAAAAAAAACCATGCACATTTTGTTCTACAGATATTATCTTATATACATATTCCATTCGAATTAGAATGTATTCGTCAGTCTCGTATTTTAAACGAAATTTAAATCATTATGACTAAGCATGAATATAATTAATTTACTTTCTGCTTGATAAAATTTGTTAAGGGTTGTTAGAGGATCCGTATACTAGCTAACTATATGTCTTTTTCCCATTGATAAGACGAATATCATGTCATGGTTCTTTGTTTTCCAAGAGAGTTTAAAAGTTTCTTGTATTTGATTGATTGATTGATTTTGCATTGTTTCTAGTTCTGTACTTTTTTCATTGACATTATATAATTGTTTGTAATACAAATTTCAATATTTTTTTACTTCTTTATCTGAATAATATTCATATTCATCAATTTCTTGGAAATTTTTTGTTTCGAATATAATATTTTATGATTGATCAAAGATTCTTATTATATTCACATCTAAAATATTATCTGAGTACTCAATTGTTCATAATATATTACTATTAATGAGTTGTCAAAGGAGACGATTAATGTGTTGGCTAACATCAAAAATAACAGGTAA